AGTAGTAGTAGTAGTCGTAGTAGTAGCAACAGCAGCAGAAAGAACATCTTTAGCCATATCTTTCGCCAAAAAACATACTTTCGCCAACTCGAGAAAAAACTTTCGCCAATTGAGAGTTTGATATGTTCCGGGTCATCGTCATCAACAATCCTGTCTAGGACCTTTAGATCGACAACCATATATTTATATGCATATTAGAATATATTAGATACACCCAGCCGCAGTTTAAAATTTATGTGCAAACAGTATCTATACACACACAATTTGTCACGGCATGCCACAGCCCACCGTTGGTTCTCTTGGATCTGTATGCTCATTCTAAACGCCCTATGTATTGCTCAGAAGTTTTGGCACATGTAACATATCACACTGAGATGTTCATTCATGCAAAGACCAGCTTGGTTCTTGAATACTAGTGCAACATCAACCTGCCTATACCCACACCGTCCTGAACACATACAGCGGGCAGAAGCGGTTGGACGTTTAGACATTGCAGAAGCGGAGAAGGGAGTTTCAACACAGCTAGCAATGCTGGGGCAACTTGCTTTCCCGTCAATGCTGGGCTTGGCCTTGGGTGCTTGAGGCGGGCTCTGACCTTTGCGTGCCTGTCACGGGCGGACAGAGCGCTCTCTGTGCGGACAGAGCCATGGCAAGAGGCAAGTGCCTCGCCAATGTGATTGTGTCCCTTCGCGTATGCGCCACGCATGAGAGGTTTTTGCCGAGTTCGGATCAGTGATGTCCTTTTGGAAAGGAAAGAGGAGTCGGCTTGGTACCATAATACCATATATATATATATATACCAATTGGTTGTACACTGACTTGGAGTATCCCCTCTATCAATCAATCAAGCAATACTAAAGGGCCATCATGGGCCATCTATGGTTTTGGATCGTGTGGAGACAATTCATGGAATAGCTTAGACTCTGACCACCTCTCTTGGAATCTGCGAACGAACACTACGTTACTTTTGACCGTGGGAAACACCTCCATACCTCCTGTCTTCAGGCTAGACTTCGAGTAGTCATGAGGGCTTACCACAACCGCTTTACCATAATTTTATACTTAGATGTAAGTAACCACTTGTTGGGCTTTGATAGCGCGGACGGCTGAAGAGACTGACCCGTTCGATCGCACCGTCGTCTCTGCGGAATTTCGGTGCCACGACTCTCGTCGATTTGCCCTCGCTCCCCCTAGTGGACAGTTTGTACGGGCCTGCTTTAGAATGGTGCCGGATTGTGGACGATTGTACAACGTGTTCTTTACTTTGTTTGTTATGTCTTCCCAAATTGGAGCACATCGTTCTACAGTCTTGGGCCTCCCCATCTGAGATCAGGCAATATGTTTACCATTGTTTGCCTCCATAAACAACGCTTAGGCCCCGGTGGGAAGTTGGTTACCATGAAATACATTGGAATACTAGTCACCGCCCAGTTGACGCACAGGCTGGGCAAAGTATGGCAAAGGGATGTGTAGCTTCACCGTGGTTTGAGATGATGAGTGGGTGATCACGAGTGATAAAAGTACTTCGTAAGTCTCTTCGGTCAAATGCTGAAAAACTGGTCAAGCGGCCAGCGCGACAGCACCAGCTCACTGACATTGCGTTGCAATTTCCTCCAAAAGCCTTTCTCTTCTTTCTTCCTGGTGAAACACATTCGAAGACTCTCTAGATACATTTTGTCAGCACTGCAGCGGCTGCAAGCACAGCAGTTGCACCTTTCTCTTGCTTCCTGCTCTTCACGAAGTTCTGCCACAATCTTTTTTAGTGGCCCCCCTTTCCTGAGGAGAGGAAGCCAAGGAATGCATGGATTTGAACTGGACACTTGCTGACCAATCGGTGGCTCCTTCCATTCCACTTGGCCAATACCCCAAATCCCACGCAGCTACTACTCTGGGGAAGTTGTGCCTGAGTCCAAAAAACTTGTTTAACGTTTTCTAGAGTCTATGTTTTAGAGTTGCTTGCTTTTGGTGTTTGAGGAGAAAAAGGACATATCGGTGTGCCCGGCCTCATTGCCTCAATATCTAGAAACCTGAGCTCCACTGCATCGCATGTAGTCACAATGTAGTCAATTATAGTAGCTTTCTTTGCTCCTAGCATCTGCTAGATGGCTACTTAGCATCTATTTTCACATATTTGACCTGTTTCCTGTTTCTTGTCTCCCAAAAAAGAAAGTAAAAAAACATGGCCAGCACTCAAAGTCATCAATCCGCTTCTGGCCCATCTCCATGGCCCATGCAGCTCAAAGTCTTGTCTGGGCCCTGAAAGCGCTCCACAGTGGACTTTGACAAAGCCAATGCAGGACGGTTGCTTTCTGCCCTATCTGCCCCTGGCGAGGTCGCCCATGTCCCAATGAGACAGAAGAGTCTTTTTCGGCGAACTTGACTTCACACAACTTCACCAAACAAGTGGCGTTAAGTGGCTCAAACTTGCTTTAGGTCAGGAAAATATGTCACGATGTCTTGAGTCGGTCCCGTGCAATCAAAGTCCACTTTACATTGGAACTGTGATTGTCAGTCGGCTTGTAGCTTGAGATCAACCGCTTTGTGACAGAGCTGATGGAAGGCTTATGTGTGACTTTGGCAGTGCGATACGAGATTCTATATACATGATCGTCTAATTCAGAGCACCCTGCCAGGACTAAAGAAAAACTTTGTCAGATTGTGCAAAGCGAGAATCGTGCCTGTAGGACTCATCTGACTCAAGGGCATACTGTCTGGTGGTGTTTCCGCCTCCGGCAACCTATGGCAGCCATCGATGTCAAACTTTTCGTGGCGATTCCCTTCAGAAGGTTTTCGGCCCACGGCCAAACTGATCAGGCAAAAACGACCTTCGGAAAGAGTTCCACAAGTCTCCAAGCTTACAGCTTCTGTTTAGTGATTGATTCATGATCAAACGGTGTGGCTTGAGAGAAGATCTCAGCATGGATCAGTGTGCTTAATCCGCTCGTGGACAGCAAAAACTTTCCGAGGGCCAAATCTTACTTTAGGGGCAGCTTTTGTCGGGAGCAGCTCATGCAAGCCAGACACCAAAAACATTGGCATGCCAATTTGCTGTGACTATGAGCATGATTCACACAGATCTTGCATCTACCAAGCATGAGAAGAGTTAGAAGGAGAGTTCACTAATTTCGTTGATACAGTTGTCAGCACATCAGCCAAGCAATCAAACCATTGCTATGTAAGTAAAGAAGGTGTGGAGATCCACTTTGAGATTCTGTTTCATGGGCTTTGCTTTGGGCCAGGAGTATCTGCTACAGTCAGTAGAGGATTACAAATTGCTGCCAGGATTCGACATAGTTGAGACCTGGCATAGTGACCCCTTTCATAGAAATATGATGTTTCCCATCCTTCTCCACACTTCCCAAAAGAGCATGGTGTTGTCCAGTGCAAACATACCCCACTGCTCACGCCCTTAGGCTTATGCCCTTTTGTCTCCCAGAAACTGAAAAGGCTCCGCAGTGAAGAGGCTGCAGGGCGGTGGCGCCACCAGCAAGGGTGATCGTGGCACCTCATGGGCCTCGCGGCACGTTTTTCGGCGGATGGGCCCCGCGGAACGAGACGTTCTTCCAAACGGGGTAGCTCTATGGTTGTAATGCAATCCTCACTAAACCATCCATCCCAGGGTTTGGGTCCTATCCGGATGATAGCACTTGGGTTGAAGGCTTGTGACTGGATTCTGAGGTGTTGCATGGTGTCCGCGGCCAGCCCGTTTTGCCTCACTAGTGGAACGGAACACAGGACTTCAAGATTAGCACAAGCCATGCGGCCGTGCTGACATCACCTCCAAAAACTGGCTGATGGGACAAAGAGGCACGAGTTATCTCAATTGTGCAACAGTTTTTGGAGTCATTTGCATGGATGTCTCAATGCGTGTCCCAATGTGCCAAGAGTCTTTTGTCAGGAGCTGTTCCACTGACCTCTGCCAGACTTCATGTTGCTTTGTGAGCAGCTGGTAGCTCCTGATTTGGCAATCTGCCAGAAGGATGGGAGGTGAACTTGTCAGAAACAGGCACATCCTGCATCATTTATATATGATATACTGTAACCTACAGTAATTGACATTGCTTTCATATGACTGAAGCCGCTTCTCTTTGATTCCAAAGCCATCCGACGAGCTGCTCCAAAGCCATCCGCTGCTGTCGGTGGACCTGCAGCAGTGTGGCTTCGAAGCCAGACCTTGGAGCGCACGGCCCGCACGGCTGGATCAAAAACCATGGAGTGAGGCACGCTGAGGAACGGCTGGGCCAGGTGCCAGGCTAAGGTTCCTGTTTTTGCAAGAGCTGGCATGAAAACAGATTCTAATCTTAATGTGAACTTTGTTGATTAGGGCATAGGAGCTAGTTTTTGGTGGGGGCATAGATTATAGATGTGCACACCATCGGACAATGAATCTTTATTTCTTTCGCCCTGGCTTTGCCGGGATTGTTCTCTTGATGGGCTTTCAATTCTTGGCCGCCCTTTATTGGGATACTGTTCACAGCATTGGAAACAGCACATGGCAATCACGCACGGGAACAGCTCCAGTCTTTCCCAATTTCCAAAAAGCTCCAAGCGTTGGCTTTCAGATCTTCAACAAACCTACGATCTCACAAAGACCAATATGAAAAGACCGTGTGACTTGTCACAGCTTGTCTAGATGTTCCCAACAGTCATGGAACGCCATGGGGTGAGGCTTTCAGGAACTAAACTGGTCGTGCATGAACCTGGTGGTCTCCCGGTGGGAAACCCGGTGTCGTTCAGTCTACAGGACTCCTACGTTGCAGAGAGTTGCAGGGGCCTTATTGTCAGGAGAGCCGGGTGTTCAAGTGGAAGGACGGAATGTATGATATATTGCATTGTATGATGCATTGCATTGCATTGTGATGCATTGGCCTACCAGTTCTGACCAAGGGGCGGCATTGGGTCTGGCTGCGGCATCGTTGGTCCTCTGAGAAGGAAGAATTCTATCAGCAAACTTGCAAATGTGTGTGTATGCACTGCACAGTTGGCGCAACTGTGTGGTGTCTTGGTCAAAAAACATCCATCTCCCTTTGTATTTCTTTGACTTGGAGGTCGAAGCCTTAATGACCTTCAGGCCCAAGTGAAACTGCCAGGCGGAAACACTGCTAGACCTAAACGCTTTAGACCGTCTTTTCGGAAAGCCACTGAAAAGGCTTCTTGACCAATGGGACATGGGACGCGGAATGTCTGTTCTGATACATTCCCGGTGTAGACTTCTGGGTGCACCCAATAGATGATATATTA